ACCATCTTTCCATGTCCTTCTGAATGTCATGGTTTAGTGCCATATAATTTGATTAATATAACTTTTGTTAGGTTCTTGGTTCTTCTCTAAGTTACCTCTAAGTATACCACTTTAAATTTAATGTTTTAATAATCTGGGTCGGGGTATAGTTTATAAATATGGTCTGTGTTTTTCTTACATTGAGTTTATAACCTGATCTTCTCTCCTGTTGACACACACATAAACACACAATGACACGATGAACTATAACACAAAAATAGTCATTCTCATAATTGTGGGCTATTCTCAATAATCCAATGTCCCTGTTAGCCGTTCTCCAACAGAGTATTTAGAGAATAAAATGAAAGTAGCCTTTACAATGTTGGGATGAGTGCCATAGCCGTAACTCTAGGTTAAGAACATTTAACAAAAACTCAAATAAAACATGATATCACAACTTTACTTCCTGTGTCTCAGTTGTTTTCCGTATCCTCAGGTCTCCAAAACTCCAATTTTTCCTTTCATGTCCTGTGAAAGCACTCCGTGTGGACCATTCTGACATTATTTATATGGATCCTGTCCTCCAAGTCGGTTACCTTTTTCTTGTAACTTCCTCTGTTCTCTGAGTGTTACTAACACCACTTCGTTAGATGTTAAACGTCTCAAACTCCTCAAAACACACCTGAACATCGTTGACGTTTCTTTTGTGTTACTTCGTCACTGTTCTCTTGTAGTTTCTTATTAACATATTCCTTAAAATTGGCATATTCATGTCTGAAGTTAATAAGAAGAAGTAAGTTTGCTATTTAGTTCACCACTCAACAGAAAGTCTAATCCAGTGTCTTTTGACATCCAAAGCTTTAGGACTGCAAGATGGAATGTTGCCTTAGTTCTATGAATACATAAGAAATTAGGATAAAATGAAAACAGTCCTGAATTTGACCACAAATGGGTCATATCACAAACATGCAACATGCAAAAAACCCCACAATCAGGAGGGCCAAGTATAAACAAAATGCTGAACCCAGAGGTGGAAAGTAACAAATTACATCTACTCACATTACTGTAATTGAGTAGTTCTTATGATTCACTTGAAATTTTTAAGTAGTTTCGGAAAGAGTTTTTTATGTTTTTATTTTAAATACATATCAACTCAAGTATTTTATTTTGCTACAAAAAGAAGAGAACCTGTTAATGAGTAAAACATTTAATGCAGGGAACAACAATCTGCATTAATGGAAAGAGAATTGCATGGGTGTGTGCACACAGATTTCCCACTATTTTAATGTATCCAAAGAACATTGAATAAGAGACAGGCTGGCATTAAAAGACAGCTTCTACTGAACCCAAGATAAAAGTTGTGGAATACCAAGCAGAGAGATCCCTTGGTGCACATGACTGAGCAAAGGAAGTCCTTGGCCATATCTCAGCCAGCTCTTTGTTTTTAAATACAAATGAGGCAATAACTTTATCATGCAATGCAAAATGTTCCTGCCACAGGGCACAGGGCTGTCAGCCTTTTAAACCTTCCACATCAAACCTGCAAAAGCACATGTAAATAGAGCAAATGTGCTTTTTCCTGTGTATCCCAAATGTTATGTTTATTGTTTGGCTAAAACCTTCCTCAGTTGAAAGAAAGACAATTATTTGTCATATATGACACAGCACACTACTGCACACAACGAAATGTGTGACCTCTGCTTTAAGCGCCCGGGGAGCAATGTGAGATCCTTAAAGGAAACTTGCTAGCTGGTGGACTCGAACCTGAAACCTTCCGAACCCAAGTCCGCTTCTTAACCACAATCGGAAATAGAATAGAATAGAATAGAACAGAATTGAATAGAATGCCTTTATTGTCATTATACTTTCAGTACAACGAAATTGTAGCCGTTCCTAATGCAGTGCAAAAAGCAGTCTTAGTGCAAAAAAGAGAAAGAAGGAAGCAAGATAAATTATATACAAAAACTAAATATAAAAGAGTCTAGGTAAAAATATACATGGAAGGAGGTGTAGTGTTGACACATGTATGTTGTCCAGCGGAATGGACTATTGCACGTGATTAAAATTGCACTTATGATAGAGTAATGTGCAGATTATTGTAACAGTGATACATTGGTAACCGGAGAGAGTCTGGTCAGTGCATATGGGAGGTCAGGGTCATTACAGCTTTAGGGAAGAAGTAGTTCTTGAATCTATTTGTCCTTGTTTGAATGCACCTGTAGCGTCTACCAGAGGGCAGCAAGTCAAACAGGTCATAGCCAGGGTGTGAGCTGTCTTTGATGATGGCATTGACTCTGTTGAGGTAGGGAGGTGTAAATATCCATCAGGGAGGGTAGAGGGCAGCCAATGATCCGTTGTGCTGTCTAAACAACTCTCTGCAGCCTTTCCCTGTCTGCAGCAGTGTAGCTGCCATACCATACTGTGAAGCAGTATGTCAACAGGCTCTCAATGGAGGAGCGGTAGAAGGTCAGCAGCAGGTTGGTGTTGAAGTTGTGCTTCCTGAGGACTCTCAGGAAGTGCATGCGCTGCTGAGCCTTCTTGGTGATGGAGGTGATGTTTTCTGACCAGGAGATGTCGGTTGAGATGTGGACACCTAGAAACTTGAATGTTTGGACCCTCTCCACGCGCTCATCGTTGATGTAGAGGGGGCTAGGTCGATGCTGTGCTTCCTGAAGTCAATTATGATCTCTCTGGTCTTCTTGGTGTTTAGAGAGAGGTTGTTCTCCGAAGACCATGCTCTTTTTTTTCTTTTCTTTTTTTAGAATAAAATAATATGAAATGCATGATTTTAACTGTAGTGCCTAATGATATCATCTCAATTCATGTTAAACAGATTAGCTCCTGGATTGTTGTAGCCTGGACTATGAGCTTTGAATGGACAGTGATAGCCCATCAATTGTCCTGCTCTACACCGTATTGTTGATATAAACTTAGTATAAACATGAAATGTATATAGAGTTCTCCATTCTTTCCCATTTCTTGTGTACAAATGTATATGTATGTTTTTCACCTACCAGTAAAGTATGCCATGTATTAAACTATGGGTATACAAATCTGATAGGTAGAGTTGACTTATCGGATTTGTATATTGTGTATCTGACGGGTTGATATTGCTTATATTGTTTTTATGCTTTGTTAGTGTTTAATTAGTATTGTTTAATTAGCTTTTTCATAATTTCAATATGAATCACCATCTATCTGTAATACGTTTTTAAAAAAAAATATATTCATATATATATAATTAATTTATATAGCTGGCTAGCTAGCCATCATATTGTATATCTGGTTGCGTTGATGAAGGCATCACATCCCTTCAAATGTGTGCTTAGTATATGTTTAATACTTATCTGTATATGCCAATAAGGACACAGCAGATGCCCCTAAAGTGGAGGTCCACCACCCATAACCAAGACAGAAGAATTGGCCCCTTCACAGAAGTCCAGCTTACCAATGGCAGAGTTCTTCCTGTGTATCCCAAACGTTATGTTCATTGTTTGGCTAAAACCTTCCAGAGTTCCCTGGGGGAAGTTCCTCAGAACCGGCAACCCCCCACAACACAAGTGCTTATGTAAGCGGTGAGTAAAGCATATTAATGATGATAATTTGTCCAGTGTTGGCTCAGTGACAGCTGTTCATACTATTACCATCAAAATCTATTGGAGATAATTGATTAGTATGAGCATCTTCCCAGACGTTGGTTGGAACTTCCAATTGATTAGTATGATCATCTTCCCAGACGTTGGTTGGAACTTCATATGTCTGAACCATTCTGCTGTGGCCTGTGTACTATGGGAAAATGACATTCAAATTACACACAGGCAGTTTTCTGTAAGAAATTATAATTTAACTATTTGATATTTGGTGTCATCTAGCTCGTGGAGGCCCCAATCGAAGATCCCCCAGAGATAGTAGGTATAATAGTAATGAGTAAAGTAGATTGTTATTCTCTTCATTGTTGTACAAAACAATGTACAAAAGTAATTGGCATTACAGGATGAAGACACCTTGCCATGGAGCAGGTTGTCTTCACGGATTATGTGGCTATAGCATCCAACCCACGTCTCTGTCCAGACGGCTTTGTGAAACTGAAAAGTCGGAGTTTCCTCTAATACAGAATTACCTAACTCTGATTTAGAACTAAGGCCACTTCAAGAAACTGACCTGTTGTGGTTGCGTAAACTCGATCACAGTGGCGCTGTTTGCTGCAATTTACAATGATTTACGGCACTGCCTTTTGGTTATGCCTAAATGCAAATAGGACAAATACTGCAAATGGGCACTTTTTTAGAACTTTATTGCGAGCATATCATGAACAGTATCCAAAATTTTTAAAAAAAAGGAAATGGAAAAATAAAATGAACAGCGAATATAATTGAAATCCAATAGTAGAAATAAATTAAATGTGCAATGCAAGGTGTTATTAGAAACAAAATACAAATTAATGAAAATAGTGCAAAACATACATATATATACATTTTATTGGAAGAGCGCCTTATGTTTCGGAATATAAAATTTGGTTAAGATTATAATGAGGTCATAAAGGAAAAAACATTGCTTTTCTTTTTTTAGAATCTAATGAGGTCATAAAGGAAAAAACATTGTCCAACTTTCTCTCATAATTTGATAAACCATTGACAACATGCATGCTGATCCATCGTTTATGTACGTCCTAATTAAATCGACTAAAGCAGCAACAAGTCATAACAATCAAAAAACAATTATCCCTTAATTGTAAAATAAACATTATCTATGTTATGAACCATAACTTTAATCAAACAATTTAAACATGATCAATTAACTAATTATTTATGCTGTAGTATGACCTTGTTATTGTTAATTTTCCAGTATTGTTAATTTTGCAACTACTCGTACAGAACACGATGTAAGAAATCAGAAACGAAGTCCAGGACTGTGATCGTACTCCATTAAACTGATTGAGATTCTGAGTTTGATTTGATTCGTCATCGATTATGTCTGTTAGAAGTGTTTGCGGATATAGACCAATGAAATTTACTACCGGCGGAACAGGCGGGCCTAAGAAGAGTACAAATAGGTCACTGTACTTTGTCAAGAAACGTTAGCAGTTAGAGCGTTAAAGTTATTGTACATTTCAGCAAATGTAACATGAGGGAAATTGTTCACTTACAGACCGGACAATGCGGTAACCAGATTGGGGCAAAGGTTTGTAACGTTTGATAGCTTTTCATAAATGTAATGTTGGAGTTTTCTTTAAGTAAATGCGCTAATGTCAGAGCGCGTGGTTGTTACGTACGTTGAAGGAAACCGCACCCTGTCAGCAGCCATTGTTTCTCGATTAAATATATTTATATATTGATTGCTCATCTAAATAGTAGGCGCATTTTCTGTGAATTATTTGAAATATCTCGAAACAGTTGCAACTACAATTGTAAACTTCGAACTATTCTGGCTTCTGTACTTATTTTACTGCGAAAAGCTATGTAGTCATAGACTTATACACTTCTTAACTAAACAGTTTTTTGCGTAAATTGTATCAATGTATACTCATGTTGTATTTTTTCACCATATAATGTTAGGTCTTGTGTGTTTTTGGTCTACAAGAAAAGCGATTTTCGTTTTATTTTGCAAATTATTTGGTCGTTTGTGACGTAACGACCTTTTTGAATTCTTAAACGTTTCATCAGCCAATAGCTGGTTAGGATGAGAGCGCATCTTTGTCACATAGATAATATCTACAAATAAAATGCTTTTAATTTTATTAAATGGTTCGTCGATATTCTTAAACGAAAAGAAAAATGTAGGAGACACCAACTGTACTTTAATTGTGTAACTTGTTTTCCTCTTTCAGTTTTGGGAGGTCATTAGTGACGAGCATGGCATTGATCCAACAGGAACTTACCATGGTGACAGTGATCTGCAGCTTGACAGGATCAATGTGTACTACAATGAAGCCACTGGTAAGTTTTGTGATTTGGCTTACTTACTAAAATTGGTTTAAAATGCTTATGTATATCTTCTCTTCTTTTTTAGGTGGGAAATATGTACCCCGTGCTGTGCTGGTTGACCTAGAGCCAGGTACAATGGACTCGGTGCGGTCTGGACCTTTTGGCCAGGTTTTCAGACCAGACAACTTTGTTTTTGGTATGTTTTTCTAAAAAAACATTTTCCACTTAGTCTGTTACTTGTTTTTCTAGATGGTTGTAAGTTAAGGCAGTAGTTTGGTATTTCATAGACTTATACTAATTATACTTTTTTTAATAGTTTGTTTTTAGAAAGGGAATTAATTTGCAATAATACAAAACATGTTGTATTTTAATAGGTCAGAGTGGAGCTGGCAACAATTGGGCCAAAGGACACTACACTGAAGGTGCAGAACTAGTAGACTCTGTCCTTGATGTGGTTAGGAAGGAGGCTGAGAGCTGTGACTGTCTACAAGGTTTCCAGCTCACACACTCGCTAGGTGGTGGTACAGGTTCCGGTATGGGAACTTTGCTTATCAGCAAAATTCGAGAGGAGTATCCTGACCGTATTATGAACACCTTCAGTGTGGTGCCTTCACCCAAGGTGTCAGATACAGTTGTTGAGCCCTACAATGCCACACTGTCAGTCCACCAGCTTGTAGAGAATACAGATGAGACGTACTGCATTGACAACGAAGCCTTGTATGACATTTGCTTTCGTACCCTCAAGCTCACAACCCCATCATATGGTGACCTTAACCATTTGGTCTCTGCCACCATGAGTGGTGTAACCACCTGTCTTAGGTTTCCTGGTCAACTCAATGCTGACCTACGCAAGTTGGCTGTGAACATGGTGCCATTCCCTCGCCTGCATTTCTTTATGCCTGGGTTTGCTCCTCTCACAAGCAGGGGCAGCCAGCAGTATAGGGCTCTCTCTGTTCCAGAACTGACACAGCAGATGTTTGACTCAAAGAATATGATGGCTGCATGTGATCCACGTCATGGCCGTTACCTCACGGTGGCTGCAATCTTCCGTGGCCGGATGTCTATGAAGGAAGTCGATGAGCAGATGCTCAACGTTCAAAACAAAAATAGTAGCTACTTTGTTGAGTGGATCCCCAACAATGTCAAGACTGCAGTCTGTGACATTCCTCCACGTGGTCTCAAGATGGCTGCCACATTTATTGGCAACAGCACAGCCATACAGGAGCTGTTCAAACGCATTTCTGAGCAGTTTACAGCTATGTTCAGACGCAAGGCTTTCCTTCATTGGTACACTGGTGAGGGTATGGATGAAATGGAGTTCACGGAGGCAGAGAGCAACATGAATGACCTGGTGTCTGAATACCAACAATACCAGGATGCCACTGCAGAAGCGGAGGGTGATTTTGAGGAGGAGGAGGCTGAAGAAGACGCCTAAAACAGTCTTTCCGGAAACTTTTTTTTTTTCTTCCAGAAACCTGTCAAGCAAAGTGTTAAAGATTACCCAACTGAGAAAGATCTAACATTGTATTGTACTTTTCAGTGTTTTATGTTGATTTTTGGTTCTGTAATTAAACATTATCAAGTGGCATTTGTGTAAAAGTTGTCAATATTCAAAAAATCAAATGTGTTCTAATGGTTTTAGTTGGGAGAAAGTAGGCTTTTGAATCCACTAATGACACAGCAGTGTGAGTAGGTTGGGTTAGGATCCTTTTTAAAGCATTGCAAGGATACTAAAGATCTGAGAACCTTGATGAAAACATTCAAACGTCCACTTATTTCATGTTGCTCCAGGAAATCTTTGTTAGTAAAGTATATATTAGTATATAGTATTTGCACTGTTACTTTCCCTCTGTGGGAACAACTTTGCAGCATTGTTTGACCTCCAAGGTATGTATCAAAAGTTGTGAAACATCGATATAAAGTTATTGTTGTTCACGCAACTACATTAACCCTTGTGTAATGTTCATATTGTTGTTATTCAGCCAGTGTTTGTGTGTCTGATGGACCTGTTGCATTTTGTGGCTTTTGATGCCTCACAATCACACTATGTTTCATCTTATGTTAAAATACTGAACAGATGTTAACCTTATCCCAATTACAAGCAGTATAAACAAT